TTTTTTTTTTTTTCCTCAAAGACCATCCGCGGTCTAGGGGACGAGTCTTGTCGCGAGAGTGCAGCTTGTGGTTTTGTCCCTTGGATCGAAATTACGGTCATAAGAGATCAACTTATTTGAGCAATACGGAGCTGGCGGCAGTAGAATTTAGCACGTTTAGAATGTGCCTCAACAATTCAAGCCTTGTAGATATCTGCAATATGATTGTAAGGTATCTTAAGTGAGGAAATTTGGTTTCAAGGAGAGAAAATTTAAGGTTAGTGTTGAGAGTGAGGTTTTGAGTTAGGCTATGTTTGGTAAGACTAGCTGATAAACTAGGTGATAGCTTATCATTAATTTTCGAGCATATAGCTTATAGCTTATGACTTATGGCTGAAAAGCTAGCTTATTTGATAAAAGTGTTTGGTAAAATTAGCTGATAAGCTAGCTGGAATAAAAAAAAATCAACTAGCTTATAGCTTATTTGGTTAGCTTATAAGCTTCCTGTATAAAATAAGAACCGTTTGGTAGGACGGGCTTATTTAAAAAGCTCTAGCTTATTTGATAAGCTTGTTTAGGTAGCGTTTCAAAATAAGCTAGTTGAATTTTTTATTTCAGCTAGCTTATAAGCTAATTTTACCAAACACTATTATCATATAAGCTAGCTTTTCAGCTATAAGTCATAAGCTATAAGCTATAAGCTCAAAAATTACATATAAGCTATAAGCTAGCTTATCAGCTATCAGCTAGCTTATCAGCTAGTTTTGCCAAACACACCCTTAAATACAGAGAGCTTATAAGCTAATCAAAAAAACTATAAGCTTACAATTTATTGGTCTACCAAACATAGCCTTAAGGTATATTTATTGGGCACAAGATTTTGTAGCTAGATCTAATTGATAAGAAATGAAATAGAAATGATAAATTGTAGGCTGATTAACAGTATTTATTAAATATCATATGGTCTAATTTTAATTTTAGACTACATCACCAACATTCAGACTGCAATTACATGCCTAGCAAAATATTTAATGACGATTTATTTATTTATTTATTTATTTATTTTTTTTTAAATGGTAGTGTTTAAACATATCTTTTTTTTTTTTTTAAGAATGTTTATCATTCCATATAACTTGTTTACGAATACTTTTATAATATTTTAGAAATATTTTCATAATGGTTGGATTTAAATTATTATTGGTTGCACATTTCTCTATATACTATTTTAGAAATATTTTCAAAATGGTTGGATCTAATTTATATCATTGGTTGCACATTTCTATTTATATATATTTTTTTTCAGAAATTATGCTGATACAATTTAAAAAAAATATGTGGGATACTTTATAATTTATAGGGGTATGTTATATGGTGTTAGTATATCATTGTTTTATTTTATTGGTTGTATAATTGGAATGTTATACATCTTTTGCATTTGGAAATGTATAAATACAAAGAAAAGAACATGGCCTTGTATTTTGTTTAATGCTTCACCAAATTCCGGAAGTTCGGGAGGACCCACTAAAAACCCATTACAAATTATTAGTTTATGTAACACATTATTTTTTATTTTATTAAATTTTTTATATTTATGTACCAATTTGGTAACCCTTTACTAATACTTTAACATTTTGAGTAAGAAACATTTCTCAAATAATAATTTTTTATCATGTCATATAAAACAATATAGCAACGTATTTCATCCATTAATATTATATAATAATTTTTTTTGGAAATTCTATCGCACAAAATACATATGAGTACATTTTGCATTTCATATTTAACTAGTACAACGCCCGTGTATTACACAGTGTTTGGTAAATTTTTATTTGCAAATTTAAAATTAATGAGAAAAAGTAGTTGAAAATTTGAATACTATATATATATATATATTATTATATATTTTAGAATGACATTTGTTACTTGTGCGACTTACATGTGTAATATTATAAATATTTTTCTAACTTATAACATATAACTAAATTAAACATGAATATATTAATTGAGAAATAATTTTATTTTATAATTAATTTTCATAAATATTTTTTTATTATTGTAATGATAAATATAATTTATTTATTTTATATATACAATATGGATGTCAAATCGCAGCTCATCAAAAGGTGATTAATTTTACACATTATATATGTAAAACTGGTAAGAAATACAAAAGTTATCAACTTTTAAATACATTTACAATTTAATAGTTATAATAGGAAATGATATTAAAAAACAATTAATACATCTAAAATGATTACAAATAAATCAACATATGGTAATCAGAACCTAATTAATTTTGGATTGAAATTAAATTAAAATCTATCAAAGTCAAATAACAAATCATGGAATTTTGACACCTAGGATTCCGAAGCATGCGAGTCTGCCACTTAGGCTCAGCACATTCGAGAATTATATATACGGGGGATGGGTTATGTGTCTTAAACACCTTATGGTCACCAATGGACTCTCTAATGGCCGCAGCCAGCTGCGTGTCCGTGCGTCGTGGACTCAGACGAACTCATCCGATCTTGGAATCGAGTTCCATTTTTTTTACTTGTCGTTAACAAATTATTCTACAGTTGTACCATGCATGATCAAGTCTCGTTTGAATTGTCCTAACCTCCGTCAAAGACAGAATATCAAACCCATTAATTTGAGTTACTTAAACTCATTGTTTTTTTTTTCGAACGATAAAAATTTCATAGATAACCACAAACGTACATCTAGAAACGGCCCAAAAGCTGAAAAGACGGCTCACAAGTCGAATCTAGTGAGAGGACGGATCCAGAGGACCGCCAACCACACCCACGAAACACTATAAAAAACTGATAAACTCCACAAAAGGAGAAAGAGCTCCCCTACGGGAGAAACAAACTCCCCTACGGGAGAAAGAACACACAAAACCCAAAAGCCATTACACTACAAAACTGCAAGAAACCACATAAACTAACAAACACACATTAAACTAGCTAAAATGAACGCCCTTCCCACCAGTCGGGAAGACCCATCACCAACTAAACTAAGTGATCATCCAACCCCGAAAATCGAGAGGAAGCCAACCGGACAGCAAAATCGATAGCTCCCAGATCTTCGAGAATCCACCTAGGCCGACCCACACCACATCTCCCCCCC